ATAATGTTTATAATACTATTATTGTATTCTTTGAACATATTAAGGTACATATGTAAATCATTTAAAATAAATATTTATCCACTCTTTTATTTTTTTATTTTTCATTAATACAATGGCATGACAACAAAAGTAATTTGTCGCTCATTTCAAATTTCGTTTAGAATTCCATAGCTTATTGTTTATAGCAACTATTTTGCAGTATTAGGACCTTAGTGCTCATATTATGTCTTTACTATATCTGTATAGTTATGTAAATACTTCTTGTATTACTTATTTTTTAGTTGTTTTTTTATTGTAATATGCATTATGGCCAGATGTTATGTTAATTTTTATGTACAATATTGTTATTCTCAAGGGACTTTGTCTCACAATAAAGTTGATTCTTCTATTCTATACATAAAATATATAGTAAAGAACAGTATTGCTATCGTGAAAATTTTTGATTATCAGCTTTCTACGGAAATGCATGTTTTGTTATCTACTGAGACCAAATAACCAAGTCTCGCAAAATGGTCTGTGTGTGTGTGTATGTGCATGTTTGTATGTTATTAGTCTAGCTCAAAAACGAAAATTCGTATGAAAGTGAAATTGCATATTTAAGGTTTTTATAAGAGGAAGTGGTACTTTATATTATCGATTTAACACATTTTTACCGTTTTCTCAAAATCCGCTCTAACGATATAAGTATATTAATTATCATTAAGCAGTATTTAATATAATGCAGGGTTTTTTCTTATTGATGTTCTCTAACAGGGTTTAAATGGCTAATTTTAAATCTCAGCTTCCTCTAAAGTAATGTTTTTTAATTTGAAACAATTAACCAAGTACGTCTTACAGAAATATCCGGAGAGGTTTCTGTTGATGTAGGGAAAAATTCCTTTCAACTTGAGGGGAAGGTAAACCTCGCCGAAGATGGCACTTGTACGACAGTACTTAAGGATGCTCATGTGTTATCATTGGACGGTTTCCAAACGACCATTAAGGATGAAGCTGTACATGTTCCCTACAGAAAGGATCTTTTTGAACTGATGTTTAATTCTCTTTTTGAGAAGGATTTCGTTAACTTACTCAACCTTCAAATTCTAGGAGACATATTAACTCATAGCTTCAAAGAAAAATTCAATGATATCGTCTGCAGTCAGATTAAAAGAGCAACTGAAGGTTAAAACTGAACAGAATTAATATACATTGTACAAATAGAGAATGGTAGACGAATCCAATAATCGCAAGAGCCATCTTATGCCTCCATCCATTCACTTGTTTTGAAATAATATTCAATCTTGTAAACAGTTACTTGATTCTAACTGAGAACCAATATGGAACCAACGAATCTACCTGGTATGTTTCAATGTTTTTTTATTGTCACAAAGGAATAAAATGTATTGAAAAGTTTCTTCTTTTTTTTTTTCATATTTCTATCAAACATGAATGAAAATAATTTTGTTATTCTAAGACTAGTGTCCCTTTAGATCAAGTTACAAATACAGAAAGTATATTAATATTCTGGTGTGTCCATAAAATACAGTTTAATATTTACAGGATGATTACAATAAAATAATAGATAATAAAAATATATAAAAACGTGTATAAATATAAAATAAACAGATAAAATAAATTAAGTATTTGTGTTATTTAAGATTCGTCTTCGGCACTTCGGGATGGTCTCATGTGTCCCACCTATATGCCGAGTCAAAGTGGCTCTTCCCATCTTCCCGCCGCCTATACTTCCTTGGAAATTTCTTATACCAAACGATCAACTCCCAGCACCCTTCCTATATCTGTTGTCTCCTCCAGCCTAAACCCTTAGTCCACTCAATAAAAACTAGATCCCGTGTTTCTGACCTCTATATTCCATCACACAAGAGAAAAACCTATGAACGTTCCTTCTTAGCCCGCTCCGTCACCTATTGGAATTCTTTGCCACATAACATCCGTCATGCCTCTTCCCTGTCAACTTTCAAATACCTCCTTTTCCAATATCTCCTTACATCCCAAACAGAAGATTTACCACCATAAATTTCATTTTACGAACTGAATTTTGTGAAGTAAATGGTGGTGCCTACTGTTTAAGTTTTAACATAAAACAGCTATGATCTTTGTCACCTAGTTTGACTATTATTTTTACTATTTATTTATTTTTCTCTTCTCCTCAGGTTGTGCTTTTTTTTTTCGGGTATATATGTTTATATTTTATATCTTTGTCCTTATGTGTGCCAATATGAGAATGTACGTATAAATAGTTCCTTTTAGTTTTTTTTTTTTTTCCGTTACACCACAAGTATCGTAAGACTTTATTTTATCTTAGTGTCTGCATATTATTATATAAACCACTGTAGATATTATTTCATTTTGTATTAAGTTAGTTTTCTATTAGATAGCCTATTGTTTATAAATTGTGTAGTTATGTATATATAAATATGTAATTTCTCTTCTTTTTTTTTTCATTACAATTAAATAATTTTGAGAAGATTTTATGTTCATTTGTATATATATTTTATGTTTTACTGGTTACATATTATTTAAATAATGTATATAATATTAAAATTTTTAGAAGTTAGTTTTTGGCCAGATTTGTACTTTACTTTGTATTAACTCATCATTGTTATTCTAAAGGGACTTAGTCCCAGAATAAAGTTTAATTTTCTATTCTATTCTATTCTAAGTAAACAAAATATCAAAGTATCTGGGTGTAATTTGAGATTCTTACAGCTTAGGTTTTTAAGAGTATTTCGTGATCAATCGGATTGGGAATGGAGTAATGTTTGAAGAGGAGAGATTTGAAAGAAGATATTGATTTTGCTTGTCGAATATCTGAGGGTATAGAGTTCCAGAGGAAGACAACTTGAATTAAACTTGAACATGAGTGTTTGTTCTGTAAAAATGGCAATTCAATCAATTTTTATTTCCATATTTTTCTTCTCTATCAACACTTTATTGAGAAATATTACAATCTGTCACATCTAAAGTCAATAATAATAGTGATATAAGAGTAACTCATTCATACTATATACAGTTAATAAAAAAATGCTGCAAATTATTCCACAATGGTTTATTATCTCCAAACAATTATACATCTAAAGTAACATTACCTTCTGAGTTACAAAGAAAAATAAAACAAAAGGTGATTCCAATTATTGGACTAAACGGTTTTCTTTAATCATTAGTAATATGCTAAAAAAATAGCATTAGTTCAGTCACACATTTAAAATTTAAAAACCAAACCAAGGATATAACACTTGGAGTAGAACACATAAAAAAAAAACCGGAGACCATATCTTTGCTCCTAATTGTCCGATTTTAAAGATTTTTGTTTTGTTTTTAGAAAATTTCGTGAACTTTTATAAGTAAAAACTTTTCGAGTTATTCGGAATTTAATTTTACCATCCCTCGTAACTTTTTTTACAACTTCTTTTCGTTGAAGTATGTTATATAGATAAATTTAAAGGGCGTCGAGAAAATGACTTTAGCGAAGTTTCATTGAAATCTGTACATTCGTTTAGGAGCAACAGTCTGTAGCAACGCAGGTTTTTCGGCCGCCATTTTGAAAGTTAAAGGCGGACGGCGGACGGACAAAAAAATTTTTATTCGTTTTTCGAATTCTACGCGTCTTGAAACATGAAACCTCAAATTTTGAGAGGGGGTTATGTTTTTGAATTTTTTGGTCGATCACAATGTTTCATTATTGAAAATAATAAACATCAAAATAATACTAAAATTATATATACATAATATAAAATAAAATAATCAAAATAACTTCTTAATAAATATCATCCAATATTTCCAGCCGTACCATTTCCACCCTAAAACGTCTAAATTACTCCCATCATCTATTTTCCTTTGAAACCCGTAGACTCCTAGTCACTTCCATAATTTTTCCCCCTTTGACTATTGCTGTGCGGTATTTGGAGGCGTCTCTGGTTTCGTTCCTGGTCTTCTGATTTATACATAAGGACCCACCGAACCGCTGCTTTCGACAGATCGTTCATTATCCGATCGTCATCCCTATGGAACAACATCCCTTCCCAATACCCTTCCCAATACCCTTCCTACCTTTAAATCCCGCCTGTTCAATCATTTCTTATCCATCCAGTCCCCATACAATTGTAAATAAATACTCATATAAATATGTATATAAATCATTAGATCGTTCTTTATTATTGTTTCTATTTTTTATTATTAACTGATTAAAGTTAGAAAGTAACTTATAATTTTAATTTTAACTATTTAATTAGTCTGTATTTTTGTTTATGTATTTCTGAGGCTCCTTAGCCCACATTTCTGTCTTTCTGTATTATTCTAAAGGGACTCGCCTCAGAATAAATAAAGTATTATTATTATCATTAAACACACGCAAGGTTTAATATAATATTTACATAATCTATTCACTCAAGATCTCCGAGCCAAGCCTTTCTCCTACTCATGAAAGAAAAGGCAGGACTCTAGGAGATCCCAGCGCCTTTCATTCAGCCCCATTACTGGTATTAAGGACCAGCGAAGGCTGAACAGAGTCCATCTTTTTAGACGCTTGACAAAAATTCTTATTTAATTGTAATATGTGACTTTCATATTAGAATCATCGATTTAACAATGGCTCAAACAACTTCATTCCCTAATATGTCCTGTCAGATATTCTCTACTAAAAAATAATGAATTATTGAATACGACCTTCTTACAGAACATCAAAAATTTAAAAATAATAATAAGGATGAAAAAAATTATAAGGATTTTCAGTCAAAATTACTTTAATGAGTTAGCCGATGTTTAGATACAAACATCTGGGTAATTATGAGGATTAAAAATTAAAAAGTATAAAATAACAACAGAAAAATTATAAAAGTGTAACAGTAATAAAAATGAAGATTATAAGTAACAAAATAAAATAATAGTAATATGAGTGAAGAATAAAATTAGAAAAATAAAAATAAATCTGTGTATTTGTACAGACTATTTCTTAGTTTACTATCGCAGCCAATTGCAGTCCTGTCTCAGGAGAACCAGATCTATGCGAATGACTTGAGCAACATAAAACATGAATATGTAGCATTGATTACCTGGAATGATAAATTAAGTTCACATTACATATTAAAAAATATATAGAATACTTAATAGTTGACTTTTTAGACGATTGTAATAAATTATATTTTCGAGGAAGGAGCTGGTCCGGGTGGTGGTCATAAATAGACTAAAATAGTTGCAAATAAAAACAATTTTATTTTAAGCCAACGTTTCGACCTGATTTTGCAGGTATTCTTCAGGGCTAGAACGTACAAGATACAAAAGGATATAGAAAATTGTGAAAGTTCAATAAAAATTATAAGCAGTGTGAATAAACTTATGGAAATATTAAAGTCTAAGTACAATGAGATATTAAGAAAATTAAACTATATAAACAGAGTAAACTAAGTAAAAAGATCCTAAACTGAAGTTAATAGGTGAAAACAATTGTTATAGTATAGTATATAATATAATATATGCTATACATTTTATATATATATATATATATATATATATATATATATATATATATATATATATATATATATATATATATATATATATATATGTATATATATATATATATATATATATATATATATATATATATAATATATATAATATATTCTCAACCAGGTTAGCAAATTTCCTCAAGGGTTCTCTGCCCAAAGTTTCCCAGTTGTAACTAAAACTCCTCGCTGAACACACATGTAAGTCTCTATTTTTTTTTTTCAATATAATATATTTTATTTTATTTATTTATAATTTTTTGTTTGTTTTTCTTTTCTCTCTTTACAGCCATCATTTCATATTATTTATCCTTTTCTTCCAATCTTCCTCTTGAGATCTGTAGGAGTATATTCATAATTGCATATATTATATTACAACAATTGTTACCATTTATATTTCTTTTATTCTACCAGTTATATTTCTTTTTTATGTTTTTACATTTTATTCTAAGATTCCCAATGTAACACTTTTGTCACCCCTTTTTGATTATGCCTACTTCATCATTCCACACTATGTAACAGTTTTTATTATTTATCTCTTAGTTCTTAGTCATTATTCTAACAATTTCATTTTACTTTATATCTATCTATTTTATTTTTCTAATAATTTTTTTTTCTCATTTTTTATTATCTTTTTTACCATCATTACTTATGTTTCTCATACCTTGTAATCTGGTTATTTTCTTAGCCCTGATGAAGGCCTGAACTTCAGGTCGAAACGTCGGCATATGTAAAAAATAAATATTATAATTTATTTTTTGCCTTCCTTTTTGACTGAGCACCCCAACTATTCTTCTCTTCATTATCCACGACAGTCAACCAATTACCAATTATGAACAATTGTTACCATTTATTTACTTTAGTTTAGGATCTTGTTACTTAGTTTACTCTGTTTATATAACATACTTTTCTTAGTATCTCAGTGTACTTACAGTATAATATTTCCATTAGTTTATTCAACTAGAAACATCACTAAAATAACGTTATTCAAAAATATTGAAATTCGATTTAGTCATTATTTCAACTGAAATGCTCAGAGATTGAAGTTGTGTGGTTTATAAACTAGATTTAGTAATCTAGAGTAACTAGATTTTTATTTCCTACCGTCGATATTATAAATAGACTTTTTGTAATTATAATGGCCTTAATGATTTTTTATCTGTAAGCTTTAAGCTTTTGCTCCGTTTAAAATGCACGTAAACATTTTTATAATAGGTCAGCATTGCCAGAAAGTAATTTCTATTCAAAGTACAGCTGTAAATGGAAGTTGTGTGTTGCGAGCACCAGATTTATTTTCTACGGGGTGTTTTTTCTGTTCTGATGATTCCTGAATTGGCGAAATGTCGGCGAGTTAACTGAACAGTTCAACAGGTGAACACCTTTATGTTGGAGATTCGTGGCTTTATTGTAATGATATTTCCATTTATAACGTAATCAATTATATAATTATATCTATATTCTTATTTTAGTAATAATGTAACTTTTTTTTTATTTATTATCTTATTTATTGAAAAATATTACAATCTGTCTCAAAGGACATTTTAATAGTGTTTAGAGATCACAATCACACTCTATGTACAATAAATAAAATAAATTATACAGAATAATAATTAAATACAATAAATAAGAATAAAATAACCTAAAAATAAATAAAAAGAACACATACATACCTATATACACTATTTACAATCTGGTGAGAGAACTCCTAGCCAGACTTGTACCTCCAACTGTGGAGGGAAAAGCATGATTCCAGGAGATTCCTGCACTTCTCTCTCAACCGCGTCACTGGGGCTAAACCCAGTTAAGATTGAGCAAGAGTGCTTTAGCCACATATACTCATGCAGTAAGTGGAGAATCTGACCATTGCCAGAACTCCAATATTTACAAACTATAAAAAGTCGCGGAGCCACTACCGTTTTAACCTTCTTGGAGGATTATAAGGATGGGTGATGCTGGATAGTGATTGTGCAAAAGGGTTTGGATGATAGGTAAAGTTCTGGTGAAATTTGGAGAATTTTGCTAGGATAAGGTCTAGGACAAATGGAATATTAAGGTCATGGTGTAGGGTTTTGTTGGTTACATTGTTCGAAGGACTTTGGGTTGGAAGGATTGAATACGTTTGATGTTAGAAAATTTTGCTGTTCCCCACAGTTCAAGTGCGTAAGTCCAAATAGGTTTCAGTATTGTCTTGTAGATAAGTATTTTATTTTCAATAGAAAATTTTCTATTTAGTAGTATGTATAGTTGGCCGTATCGTCGGTTAAGTTCCCGTCTTTTAAGTCTTGTATTTCACGTTAGTCGTCTGTCTAAGAGAGAGCCAAGATACCGGACTGTGTGTCAGTAAGGAAGCTTGATGGAATTAAAGTAATGTAACTTTATAAATAATTATAAAAATAACGACCCATCTATTGCATCCCAAACCCTTCAATCCCACATCACAAACCTTGAGAAATGGTGTCAGAACTGGAGAATTTAAATAAATCCCATCAAATTACCTTCACCCTTCGTCGTAAACCAATGACTTCCTGTCCTTCAGTATCCTTTAACAACACCTCACTTATTCCTGTTGAACAAATCCGTTACCTAGGACTCCACCTGGACAAACGTCTAACTTGGAATCCTCAAACCAGACTGAAACGACAAGAAACCGCTCGACGTTTCCGACTACTTCAACACTTACTAGACAAACGCTCTAACCTTCCAATCAATTATAAAAGACTGATTTACATGACTATAATAAGGCCTATTTGGACTTACGGGGTTGAGCTATGGGGCTCCACCAAGCCTTCAAATTCCTCTCGCATACAGTCCTTGCAATCCAAAATCCTTCGTAAAATCCTCAATGCTCCTTACTTTGTTACAAATAAAATTATCCATAATGACCTTAATGTTCCTTATGTATCAGATTTGGCCCAATCCAGATACCTATCCTTCCATAATAAACTTCATAACCATCCCAACCCTCTTGTCTCTAACCTTGCTTCCTATTCGATTCCTGATAACCCTCCGAGGCGTCTGAAAAGAAGATGGCCACGTGATCTTCTAATATAGACATATTATTAGAGTGCTACCAATGGGTAGTTTCTCAACATGTGTTCCATGTCTTTATACCAATGTGCAAATTTACTAGATGTATTTTTTGTATACAGTTGTAAATATCATTTAAAATAAATAAAAAATAAATTATAAAAATATCTTTAGATTAAAAAAAAAGTTTATAATGAAATGACTCGATGGGTACCTGCTTGAATGCTCTCAGATCTACCGAGTTTCCTCTGTATTGAATACGGAGAGGGCGTTGAACCTGCATGAGGATGATCAAGATGTCTTTTTGACGCCTCTTCGGCATGTTGTACCACTGGATTTGGCAAAAACCGTCATAGATATTCAAGCTCTGGAATTATAATAAATTTTGAAAGCAGCCAAAATAATAATATTATCTTATTTATTTTATTTATTAACATCATTTACCTCTAAATGAAGCATTTCTCCAGAATAACAAGATAAGAAAACCACCATTGTCATTGCGATCGGCGAGTTGAGGTTGAACAAGAGTGCAGTAACATTGTCGTATCCCTAAGTTAGAAAAAAAAACACTTTTAAATACTATTTCTGCACAGTTAAATTTAAATTTTGGATTATAAATGCCTGAACCAAATATAAGATAATAGTCCGTGGTACAGATCCATTTTTGTCAAATTATTAATATCCGGATGAAACTTCGTAAATAGCTTCATCTCATCTTAGCCTACAAATATTTTTTTAATATTAGGAAATTACTTCAGGAAACAAACGAGGCTTTGACAACTATTTGGCAGTTTTCAACTCTTCAGCACTCATTATCCTTAATTTCCCACACAAGAGATGACACTATGTGATGTCAGGAAATCAGTTCAGGAAACAAATGAAGCTATGTTGAAAACTTTATATCACAAACACACAAAACCCCTTTATTCCTCTACATAAACATCACACTATCAGGGACAAAGGACTATTACTGTCTGGGTAACCTGAATCTAGCCAATCTGCCTTTGTTTACAACAGCTACAGTGCTGCCTGATAACATACATTAACTCTACATATTTCATTTACAAATATTCTCGGAATTGGGTCGTTTTCAATCTGGAAGTCGTCAAACTTTGTCTAATTAATTAGGTACTAAAAACTCGTAGGTATCCATTTGCTTTCCACTTGGATTGTAAGATAATTTGATCGCGAAATAGAGGAAAAAGGTGGCATACAAAAATATTGGGCCATTTGGCCTATATAACCTTGTTATTTTGACAATTTTGGGGTGTAGACCACGCCAAGTAACTCAATATTCTCGACTTTGTAATCAAATTATCTTACAATCCAAGTGGAAAGCAAATTTGCAAGTTTTAGTACCTAATTAAATAGATAAAGTTTGCCGATCTCCAGATTGGAAACGTACGAATTATGAGAATTTTCGTAAATAAAACATTTGTAAGTTATGAAGAGATAAAGCTATTTACGAAGTTTCAGCCGGATGTTAAGAATTCGATAAAAAGGGGTCTGTACCACGGACTACAAGTAAATAGAACATAGATTAAGTTCATCTGAATAACATCCGACATAGGCGCAGAATTTCCAGTTTGATTGGGTTGGCGATGGATATGTAGACGTTATATAAAATGACATGTGTATAAAGTCAGCATGTTTACTATATATATATAATTTTTTTTTTGTAGTTTTTTTTATGCCCTATGGGTATATTTGAAAATATCTGTTTGAATACATCACATATTTGTTTATATGGAAAAAGAGGCAGCCTTCATTACAAGGTATGTTTCATAAAATCCATAGGTATAAAATTAAAATGTATAAAACACGACTTTTCTAGTCTGACTAGACTTACAACAAAAGTTAGGTGACGACAAAAAACAGCAACAAACTTTTCTATCCTATATATTATTTCTAAAAGGTGTTTTTTTTTGTCGGTACGCCATAACTTCGTCAATTCTTCATCAAATCCAATGATTGGCCATTCATTTTGAAGATATTATTCTCCTTCACATGCGAAAAATAGTCCAATCCCTTCGAAATTTCTGAAAATTATTAACAAAGATACAGTCCGTTAATTTTGGTATACTAAATAATTTCTTCCCCTTCAAAGATATTGCATTTACTATTCAACTATCTTTTTTTTCCTGGCTGATATATGCTTTATTATTTCTTAAAGACATTTTTTTTTATTGTACATCTTATTTTTTTTTTAATAATTTAGAAAATCCTTGAAATTGAGGCTTTATTTTGTATGTTACCTTTTCAACCAGTGTTCAGAAACAAGCTCTAGCAAAGTAATTTGTACAAATATTTTGGTTTATTATGTTAAATGGAATAGTGTAATCGATCCAGGAAAAACATTCCTCCCTTGCGTAGTAGATAGGATCTACTTATTTCCATATTTTTTTGCTATTCCTTCACTAAAGAAAATTTTCTGTGAATTATTCGCAGTAGTAAATAATTCAATTTTTATAACCTAATGATGTGAGTATCCCATAGCAACCATAATCCGTACGAGGCTTTCGGTAAGAATTACGGATTGTCTCGAAAACAGAACGGTTTCGGAATTTAAAACTCGGTTTAGGTTCAGTTTAAAACGCAGTTTAGGTTTAACTCCAATAAACTGTAAAGCAGACCCTACACGGTAATTCATGAATGAACGTCACAAGAAGTTCCAAGATTGCCCGCTATCGCTTTGATCATGAAGATCCTTACATGTTCAATCATTACTGATCATTACTTATCGTTGCTGATACCAATTTAGCGCAGTTGTTAACAAAGAAACAGCATAGATACGCTTATATGGACATTGTCATTTATAATATTGGGCATCAAGAGAAAAACGGAGATATAATAAATTACTTAGTGCCTGAAAATCGTTTAGACCAAAGTTAGAAAAACATAAGTCAACTACATACTAAAATCTAGGAAAAGTATTGCGAAAATAATCAATTTGTTAAGAAAAATGGAAAAATTAATGGCAAATAAACACAACAGTTAAAGATTTTTTTTCTTTAAGTAAATTGTGAAGTTTCCACTTTTTTTTCTCTCCAATTTATTGCCTTCTTGACTATTTAAAGAAAAAATAGTTAAAAATGGTTAATAATAATATAGACTAGGGATATAAACAACTATTTACTTTTATGAAATTATTTACTTAATAACGAGACCTAGGTAAACTAACCTATCTAGTGGTAAGGTTAGTCTCATAGAAAATCGTTTTGACAAAGGTTAGTAAAATATAAGTCTACTGCTTACAAAAATTAAGAAAAGGTATTGCGAAAATAATAAATTTGTTGAGGAAAATGGGAAAAGAACTGACAAATATACACAATAGTTAAAGTTTTTTATTTTCCTAAAGTAAATTGTGAAGTTTCCTCTTTTTTTTTTTTAATTTGTTTCCCACTTGACTATTTAAAAGAAATAGTTGAAGATGGTTTAAAATTATAGACAAGGGATATGAAAAATTATTTAACTATTTAATGAAAATCATAAATTTATAATGGTTGTGAGGCCTAGGTAACCTAACCTATCCAGCAGTATGGTTAGTCCCCCACTACTTTTACCTCAACCACCATCAGTACTTCATTCACTACCTTACACGACAATTCGGAACGTCATTAGTGCAATTCCGATTGACCGTGTAGGGTCCCCTTAAATTAATAAGCCTAGATGTCCACCTCGAAATCTTTAAAACTCGATTTCGACTCGATCCTTCGATTTTTTTAAACCATCTGAGTTTTAAAACCTCCCAATATTTCAATTTATTTTATTGTTGTTGTAGTCATGCTTCAAGTTTTGAAAATTAAGCATCAGTTCATGAAATTCCCTATTGTTCAATACCTCATCCATCTAAATCAATCGTTTCTCAGACCAGAGAAAGGGATTTTTATTAACTTATTAATTATATGTAGTGTAGATTCAGATTGCTCATCTTGTCTCGTTTTTTTTATTAAATAATATAATTGATGATTTTTCTTCTGGTCAAATTAAAAAAGGTAATTTGTAGCTAAAGCAAAGAATGCAGTGCTAATATAAAATGCTGTGTAGATTTAAAGAAATAATTTTCAAGACGGCTTGGTTAGTTTGGGTATTGCTATTGAGCAATGTCGCCAGTTACAATCCACACATCCAGCTTGTAAAAAGAATCATAGCCAGCTTTAACCAGTTTCTTAGTGAGAGCAACCTTACCGAATGCGAACTTAAGGAGACCTTCATCACACCTGTTTCCTTCAAGGAAGGTTGGCTGAGCCAACTTGATACACTTGAACTCTTGGGAGACCCTATGGTCGTAAACAGGCAAGATCAGGATGGAGTCACATACGATTTCAATTTGATGGTTATGCTGAAGAAACTAATAATTAAGTATCGATTCACAATACTTCTCCCGTACTTACAAACAAAAGGCCTGTTTTCTATCGATGTCGGAAATAATTCTTTTTACGCGGATGGTCACGTTTTCCTTGGTGATGATGGAAACTGCACGGCCATTTTGAATGATGCTTATGTGAACACGTTGGAGGATTTAAAAGTCCAAATCGACCCGGAAGATTTTAGGATTGCATTCATCAGGAAGCTATATGAAGAAATAATCTACGATGTTATGGACACGCAGATTTCTACTATAATTAGCCAGAATATTAAAGAGCAGATACAAACTGAAAGCTTTCAAGATCAGTTCAGTAATGTCGTCTGTTCTGAAATTAATAAAGCTGGTGTAAGTGACACTGAACACAATCAAAACGGAAGCTCAGAGCAAACCAGCACTCTCACGACATCTGAGTTTGACCAGCTGCTTTGAAATTCAAGGTCTAATAGACTGCTTGACGAAAAGATCCAGAAACTAATACAACCTTTCATTTCATTTTGATATTTCTTAGCCCAGTTGTATTTATTAACACGTGTAATATCTTTTTGTTATGATAAAAAAAATAAAATTGCAGTTTAAAAAAAAAATTAAGCATGTATTATAGTTTAGATTAGTAGGCCCGTGCGAAAAATGCTCAGAGCATATTGTTATCAAATGCCAAATTAATAATAAAATAAAATAATGCAACGTATCAAAAGATAAAGAAATCAAATGTTACTTTATAGATAAATATAATCGACAAAGAAATCAAAAATTGATTTAAATCTTATTTGTTTAGAACCAACATGTTTACAATTTTCAGTAAGCTGTATCTATGCTAAAAATTGTCTGATTTCGATGATTTTTTTTTCCTTTTCTTGGGCATTTAGTAATCTTTTATATAATCATGGGCATAACCAAGGTAAAAGTGTGTACTTGTTTAGTTATTCGCAAATAAAGTTTGTTTTCTTTCATAACTTGTTTGCCTAAATTTTCGGGGTGATTGGACTATTTTGCCCGCCTGAAGGAGAAGGAAGCCTTCGAAATTGTTGGCTCAATCTTGAGATTTGGTGAAGAATTAACGATGATATGGCTTGCAGATCAAAAACACCATCGATAAATAATATAAACTTCTCCTCTCTCGATCATAGAGACCTAAAGTCGACGAAATGAGACATGTATTCAATGACAGTACTACAATTAACGTAAGGTTGTGTGCATGCAAACCCCATGTCTTGCGTTATCTCGAAAATAGTACGTTTTTGGACTTGAAAAGGCAGGATCCGATAGTTTCGGGTCTTGCTGTACGCATCAAAATCCTCAAGATCCAATTTGTCCCGTATCGATCTACAGACCTACTACCGTTCCAGTATTGAAGCTTAGCAAAATTTTTGTATCGACTTTATTTATTTTAAAAAGAAAAACAAAAGTAGAGAATACGATTCGCTAACCCCCCGTGAAATTCTGAATCCAACGGTACCCCATTCATGCTATTTGAGCTTGACAGGAGCTTATATTTGGTACGAAACCGATTTCGAGCCTTACTGTAATAGTATATCTGGGGATGGGGATATTAGTCACTGCTTGTATACTTGTACGAAAACTATACTATATAGTCATACTTTTAAATTTAAACATTACTAGGGATATATAGGCACGACACAAGGAAACCTAACTAGTTCTTAAAATGATAATATTTTTTTTATTACTCTTGGACTGTTGTCTCTTTAGAATAAATTATAAGTACATAGTAAATACCAGTGTCGCAGTACATAAATTAAGTTTTAACGAAATAATAGTTAATTACAAATAAAAATACATATAGAAAAAAAGCATACATATATATAAAATAAACATATGAAATTAGATCAACAGAATTAAACATGAATAGTCTCTAGGAGTACTTAAAGAGGTACATGATCAGTCTGGTTGGGAAAGGAGTAGGTGTTTAAAAAGGAGAGGTTTGAAAGAACAAATTGATTGTAAGTGTCTAATATCAGGAGGAATGAAATTCCAAAGAGAGAGAGCTTGAATTACGAAGGATATGTCAAACGTAGTTCTGTGAGGAGGAGGATTGATGTCGGTAGTACGGGATCTCGAGAAACGGGATTGGAGTTCTTTAATTGTAGGCTGTGAAAAATATATGAGGGTTGCTCAGTTCTAATGACCTGGTTTAGTAAGGTAAGAAGGAAGTAAAGACGGCGATAGGATATATAGCGCAATTTCAACTCGGTGCAATACTATATGCATATATCTTGAGTTCCGGAAACTGAACGTATTGAGCAATTCATTAGGCGTTTGGCTTCGAATTCTCCCGAGAGTCCGCCGTACACCAGACGGCCATAGTCAAAGTGGGGGAACACTAGGGAGGAAACCAAGAATTGACGGGACTTGTATTGAAGGATATAGCGCTGAACTGTTTCATGGTTGAGATAGTACGACGGAAAATTTGGAAGATGTGTGGTTTCCAGGAGAGGGTTTGATCAAAAGTAACACCCAGGTTTTTAAAGGAAGTATTGAATGAGTTCTCGATCCATCGACTTCCAACATTTTTCCAAGATTTTACGTATCCTTCCTTTATCAACGACTTTTATTAACATTATTGAAGGATTGGGACTCGTCACTTCCTCAAGAAATTTCGTTTTGGCTTATACCTCTCATCTCCTGTGAGCCCTAAAAGAGAAACGTACTATCGTATATGTATTGTGCAGATAATAGAAGATAACAAAAGTGTCATTTTGTATGCTGCTGAAATGAGATGTACTATTTGTTGTTTGTATTTCAGTCCTGATGAAGCTACAATTGGTTGAATGTTATTTACTCGATAACCTAAAATGATTTCTCTAACTACTGCACGCTGCACAATGGCGCCATCTGCTCTTTTAGAGATTTAAATAGGGCATAATAAATAGGGCATAAATAGGGCATAGGATAATGAAGGAGACATTACCTGAGATATTGAATTGGTCATAGCGTAGGTGAAGAGTGTGATGGCCGCTGCAGCTGCCACGTTCTGGAGGATTAAGGGAGCGGCCAGGAACTTATTCGTGAGCTCTGTAAGCCTGTCAAGAAAACAATAGTCATTTGGAAATGCTATAAACGATGCTAATCAAGTACTCTAAATCGTGTAAAGTTATGGACGTGAGATCTGCGATTTCAATAAAACTTTTTTTTTGTGATACTAGGTCGAAAAATATCAAACCCAAGGTTTCTTACCAATGCGCCCTGGGAAACGAGAAAAAAAATTATAAATTTTTATTTACCCTGCGTCGCAAACCCGTGACCTCCTATCCTACAGTATTCTTTAATAATTCCCCACTTATCCCAGTTGAACAAATCCGTTACCTAGGACTTCACCCGGACAAACGACTCACATGGAATCCTCATACAAGAGTGAAACGAAAAGAACGTTTCCGACTACTCCAACCCTTAATAGACAAACGCTCTAAGCTCACAATCAATTACAAACGACTCCTATATATGACAATAATAAGACCTATTTGGACTTAGGAATTGAGCTTTGGGGCTACACTAAATCATAGAATTCCTCTCGTATCCAATCCTTAGAATCAAAAATCCTTCGTAAAATCCTCAACGCTCCTTACATTGTCACAAATAAAATCATCCATAAAGATCTTAATGATCCATATGTTCCCGATTTGGCCCAATCCAGATACTTATCGTTCCATAACAAACTTCAAAACCATCCGAACCCTCTCGTTTCAAACCTTGCTTCCTCTTCGATACCTGATAACCCTCCGAGGCGTCTAAAAAGAAGATTAATCGTGATCTACTTATGTAAATATATTATTAGAGTGCTACCAATGGGTAGTTTCTCAACAAGCGTTTTCATGTGATTGTATTATTACTGTTTTTTTTTTACTAGTTGTATTTTGTTATAATACAGTTGTAAATATCAATGAATAAAAAAAATAAAATAAAATAAAATGTTATTATTTTTTTAAATTTATAATTTATTAATTATCAATTTTCAATCTATTTATTCGTTAACATACATTTATTCGTTAACATTCATGTATTTATTTTCTTTTATCTATTTTCTTATCATGTATTTATTTTCTTTATCTTTTATTTCTGTATCTGACAACTTCTTCGTAATTTATATATACTTATATTTATTTTTTATTTTATTTTTATATTTTCAACATGTTTGTATCTTTTGTAGCCCTGAAGACGACCTGCAAAGTGGGTCGAAACGTCGGCAAAAATTGAAATTATTTATATATTTTAATTTTTTTATTTTTTTGACCGCACCATCGACTAATTCCTTCTCATATCATATCAACGGTCAACCATCTCTACATTATTATTTTTTTATGTTACTGTTTTCTAACTTTGCTATACGGGTATGTGTAAGTTATAAATCTCTTTGACCTCAGGAAGCCTGGCAACCGGATAACAGAGATTTGAGATGATATAAAAAGTACGAATTCGCGTCCCGGTGCCGGAGGGGATTTTAAATTCCCCGCCCTCACCCCCCGGCCCGAGAAAATCCCGTATAGCCTAAAAGGCGAGGTAGGGAAGAACAAAAAAAAAAAAAAAAAAAAAAAAAAAGTTATGTAGATAAGTCTTTTGTAATTAATACAAAGTTTGGAGCGTTTGTCTAGTAAGTGTTGGAGCAGTCGGAAACGTCGAGCAGTTTCTTGTCGTTTCAGTCTAGTATGAGGATTCCAAGTAAGACGTTTATCCAAATTGAAAAAACCTTAAATCCGAATTTTCATATCGAAAATCACAAAAGTTGTGATACCTTTGACATGTTTCCAGTTATCCACACGAAAATTAGAATGCATTTGGGTTTATCATGTACACAAAATGGCATATACTAGAATCCTGCAAATAAATTAGGCTTGTAGGTAAAAAATAAAAACGTTTGGAGAGTTTTTATTTATTTATTTCTTATAAAAGCGTGAAATCTTAGTTATCGATATAGTTTTTAAAAGCAATAATTTAGTTTTCCAACGGTTGTAGTAACGTCGATTTAAAAGAATATTTTAGTAAATGCCATGAAAAAAAATCCTCCCATAAAATGACATCCAAAAATGAATATTTTTTTAAATTCATAACAAACTCGTATTTAAGAGATTTAGTGGACGCTAAAAATAAATCAAAATCGTTTTTCATGACAAAAATTTACTTGGTCTTCGTTACTGAAAGCGTTTTTGTAATGTATTATCCCCACATATATTATTACAGTAAGGCTCAAAATCGGATTTGTACCCAATATAAGCTCCTGTCATGCTCAAATACCATGAATGGGGTATCGTTGGGTTCAGAATGTCAAGGGGGATTAGCGAATTGTATTCTCCGCTTTTGTTTTTCTTTCTAAAATAAATAAAGTCGATACAAACATTTTGCTAGGCTTCAATACCTGAACTGTGGTAGGTCTGTAGATCGATACGGGACAAATTGGATCTTGAAAATTTTGATGCGTAAAGCAAGACCCGGATAGTTCCTTCGGAACTATCGGATCCTGCATTCTTAAGCCGAAAAATGTACTATTTTCGAGATAACGCAAGGCATAGGGTTCGCATCCACACAACCTTAAGTTAATTGTAGTGCTGTTATTAAATACATGTCTCATTTCGTCGACTTGAAGTCTCTATGATAGAGAGAGGAGTTTATATTATTTATCGATGGTATTTTTGATCTGCAAGCCATATCATCTTTAATTCTTCACCATATCTCAATATTGAGCTACCGATTTAGAAGGCTTATACCCATAATTATATAAAAGATTACTAAATTCCCTCCAAAAAGAAAAAAAATCATCAAAATTTTTAGCAAAGATACAGTTTATTGAAATTTGTAAACATGTTGGTCCTAAACATTAAAGAAGATTTAAATTAATTTTTGTTTCCTTTGTAGATTATATTTATCGATAAAGTAACAATTGATTTCTTATCTTTTGATACGTTGCATTATTTTATTTTCTTATTAATTAGGCATTTGATAACAATATGCTCTGCGAATTTTTCGTACGGGCCTATTACTATTACTATTACTTTATAATTGGTTTAATACAATTAGCAATATGTTTTTCTTATTTTACACAAAAAAACAAATCGATTGATATATAATAACTTATAAATCCACGCAGAGCAAATTTATAGAACAGTAATTTTAAAAAATAATTAAATTTAATACAATTTTTTTTTAGTTTCCTTGGGCGCATTGGCAAGGAGCCATATAACCTCGGACATGGGTATAATATTTTTCGACCTAGTATCACCAAAAAAAGTTTCATTGAAATCGGTGCCCCCACGTCCATAACCTCCCCCTTGTAAGATGATCATGATGTGAGTAGATTACTCATATCCTCGGTACCGGTACTGTTCTTGGACTTAACCTTTTAAATTAAATTAATAAATAATAATTAGATTATCTACTAATAAAACACTTTTTACCTCATTATATTGATATGATCTTCTATTATTTCTCTAAGTAAGGCTTCTTTTTCAGAGTTCCCTTTCCTGCTGTACTCATCAATTTTCTTACACAATATTTTGATTTCGACCCTGATATAGTTCACCAACAGAGGTAGGATGGACACCAATCCGATGAAGTGGGCTAGACCCAACCCTTCGAGGAACGCGTTGTACCATTGCAGAAAGTAGTAGAAGAAGTTACCCTTCTTGACCGAAGGCAGCAGACCATCTATAGTGACGTTCAAGTTGAGCGGCTCGGCGTTCATGAAAATAGTGGAGAGTGTGTCGTAGAGTATCGGACCGTAAAAAGCGACTGTGAGGAGAAGAAGAGAATAGAAAGTGGAGATGCGGATGATCTTCCAAAGAGGATTCAGCAAGCTGTTGAGGATCTCTTGCTGCCACGGTTCGTTTCTCTTCGCAAGGGTATTCGCCAACATCCTCACGAAAGACTGGAGGTGATGGCCGTTGCAGAATATGAATATCGTCTGTATGACCATGTACGGGGTACACAGGACTATTCCTGCGTAGATCTTCTTTAAGAAATCGGCAGCTCCTGGGGAATCGTTTAAAATGTTTTACTTTCAGGTTAAACAAATGAACTTTATAAAAAATTAAATCCAGAGTAGGAAATTTTGTATAATTCCGCAAACATTTAGGATATGAAGCATTTTAATGATTTAGGAAGTTTGTTTTGACAATATGGCAAAGTAATTAGACATTATTAATAATAAAATAGTCAGATATCCAGTTTTCCTCCTTTTCTGATCAAATTTGTTTTAATAGACTTTGTGAGTTTTGGATTTTATTTGCGTGATTTTTACGATATTGAAATTACTAGAAAACTGGAATATATTCGTTTGTTTCTATATAGATAGCCATGTTGCAAAAATTGTCTGTAAGTACAGTGTTATTAACAAGATGTTATGATCCATTCTGATCAATCTTTGTTTTGTGGATATCCAAAAATAAAAAAAAAATAAAAAAAAAAAACTGTAAAGCACTGATTCTTGGTCTACGGTTGTGCAAATAGTTGATTTGATCGAGATCACGCTTAACCGTCAGGTTTTCCCCCTTAATTAATTATTTTAATTATGAGTACCCACTTTATAGAGGCTGGGTTCTACCTCCAGAATACAAACCAAAAATTTGTTATTTGTTAGGATAACATAAGCCGAACATGCAGAGAAAATTAAATCGAAATCGCAATTTTTATATATTGATATATGCGGTTTAAATCTTCTTAATTATAATTTATTTTTTACAATTAGTGACTTTTGCAGTGTGGCTATCGATATTTTCACTTCTGTTATTTTGCGAATCTTTGATTTATTTGCGTTTGTCGAGGTAAATAAATTGTCCCTTGTGACGAATTGACACAATTTTGGACAGGACATCGAGAATCCAAAAGCTATTTATTCAGATTCAAATTAATTTCAAACCAACAAATATGAAGGCAACAGGGAACAAATATCCGACCATCTCTTATATGACTGTACCAGACTGGACAAATACAAATACAGTCATGTTGAACGGAGACCTCTATGACCTCTTTCAAAGAAGGATTTGATTAAAAAATACTTTTTAGAATTTGTGTATCGGATTGACTTTTCTGAACTTAATAATTAAACAACTGTTGTTTAATGGATTTTTAATAACATTACATCAATTATTATTATAATTGATTTATGCCAAACTTTATCATACTCAGCTGTAAATATTGTGTGTATATTGTTACTCGATTCATAATTTCTTCCTATCTGGCTAAATATCATTTTGATTAAAATCTAGAAGCAAAAAAAAAAAAATCCAATATCTTTAGTTAATTGTTTATTCTATTATATATTCTATTGTATATTATATTTATTGTATTGTGAATATTCTACTTATATTATTATTTAATCGATAATTTTTTTACAATTTTTATTCATTTTTAATTATTTGTTTCTCCGCTGGCTTTATTACCTGTGATGCGGTTGGGAGAGTATCGCAGGTTTCTCCTGGAGTTCCCTCGCCTGATTGTAAATAGTGTATATAGGTATGCATGTGTTTTTTGCTTAGTTTTAATTTTCTAATTTTTAGGTTATTTTATTTTTTGTACATACATTTTGATTATTATTTATTGTTATTTTATATTTTTTGTACATATAGTGTGAGTATTATCCTACCTCATTATAACTAATGTCCATGTGACAGATTTTTGTAATATAGTATATTGGTAATATATGCTCAATAAATATTATATATATATTTATTACTTGTACATATTTGTGGATCACAATAAATTTGCCATCTACCTTAGTATTCAGCAAATATGATATCAAGGAGAAGAATAACAAGAAAAAAAAAATAAATAAATAAAATAAAAACGTAGTAAAATAACACATACATTATAACATAATAACAAATACACACACAAAAAAGATAATGCAGCAAGTAGCTCAATGCAATAAGTCTCTCAGCAGTCTTCTGGAGGGATTATATGGATTTGTGGCAGTAGATAGAGCCTGAGTAAGTGGATTGGAATTTAGAGTCAGTCTGTCATGAAAATTATTAAAGCGGTCTGTGGCAGTTGCCGTGATGAAAGGAGTGTTAAGGTCAGTGTGTAACGTGAGATTTGAAACGTAAAAGGGTGCGTCTACAATTTTCCGAAGGACTTTTGACTGGAATGACTGAATGATTTTTATATTTCATTTCTTTGCTGTTCCCTATAGTTCGATCCCATATGTCCATAGTGGTTTAATGAGGACTTTGTAAATAGTTAATTTATTAGTCACAGATAATTTAGAACGTCTGTCAAGTAGCCTAGAAAGAAGTCCATATCGCTGATTAAGTACTTTTCTTTTTTGTTTTATGTGGTATGTCCATGTCAGTCGTTTGTCCAAGTGGAGACCCAAATATCGTACAGTTTTTGAAGGTGTTAGAGCGATATTATTAAAGAACACTGGAGGAAAAGAGTTATGTTTAAGTGTAAATGAAACAAATTGACTCTTTTTATTCTCCACCTTTTAGCCCAACAAGCTATGTCGTCTAGGTGTTCTTGAAGTACCTGAGAAGCCTTTGCTGCATCCTCAATAAATAAATTAAAAAAAAAAAAATAATTTGTTTAATGTACAATACTTAGGATAAGCTCACCAGTGATGGACATAGCTAAGGAAATTTATATATTTTTTTGGATTATACCACCGTAATTATTATAGTTTTAAACTACTTCGTTGGACATGTATAATCTCTAGGGTCCTCATTTTCTATTTAACACTTTAAAATTAAAAAAAAAAAAAATCAGTTGTCCAGATATAATCTCCATTTACAAAAATACCTTTTTGCACTAGTGATGGACACTCCGAAATTCAATTGTTCTATTAATGGACAGGAGCTCGATACCAGTAATAGACATACCTCAGAAAAATTCTAAAATTTTTACATATCTATAACAATAAATTTTCAACTTACTCTTAGCAAAACTGTTAGTAGGAATGTATGAAATACACTGATCTCAAGATCACTATAGAAACAACAATGATTGACATTTCAAAATTTTATTTTGGGAACTTAGTTCATACAGTTGTCAATAGAGGGCATTGTTCTTCAATATAGAAAAGACTGGAATCATTAAATTAACAAGGGAGCTTATTATTTACATTTGAAGTCCAATCTGTCTAACACTGGGCCCTCCGTCCATAACTGGTGCATTCACCATTTTTTTGTAATTTTATTTTCTCACAATGAAGAGAAGAATAGTTGGGGCGGTCAGTCAAAAAGGAAGGCAAAAATAAATGATAATATTTATTTTTTACATATGCCGACGTTTCGACCTGAAGTTCAGGCCTTCATCAGGGCTAAGAAAATAACCAGATAACAAGGTATGAGAAACATAAGTAGTGATGGTAAAAAAGATAATAAAAAATAAAATAAAAAAATTAGAAAAATAAAATAGATAAATATAAAGTAAAATGAAATTGTTAGAATAATGACTAAGAACTAAGAGATAAATAATAAAAACCGTTACAAAGTGTGGAATGATAGGCATAATCAAAAATTCACACTTTGTAACGGTTTTTATTATTTATCTCTTAGTTCTTAGTCATTATTCTAACAATTTCATTTTACTTTATATTTATCTATTTTATTTTTCTATTTTTTTTATTTTTTATTATCTTTTTTACCATCATTACTTATGTTTCTCATACCTTGTTATCTGGTTATTTTCTTAGCCCTGATGAAGGCCTGAACTTCAGGTCGAAACGTCGGCATATATAAAAAATAAATATTATCATTTATTTTTGCCTTCCTTTTTGACTGACCGCCCCAACTATTCTTCTCTTCATTATCTACGACAGTCAACCAATTACCAATTATTATTTTCTCATAATTTAAACTATTTAAATTGGATTATTTACCTTAAACTGATTATGTATTTTAATACGTATTATATCGTTTAGACGGTACCCGTAGAAGTATATGCAGCCATTACAGAGTTACTGTAATGTAGGAAAAAATTTGAATTGTCTTTAATGAATCCAAACTTACCGACTATATAAGCTGAGAGGATCCACAATGAAACCGACTTGACAAAGATGACCAACCTAAAAATCTGAATCCATCTCTTTACCTTGTTAGGTCTGTCGCCCAAATACGGCCAGAAGCCTACTAACTTCAAAAATTTTACCAAGTCCGAGAGGTCTTGCTTTGTAGGCATCCTACCTCTATGTATCTACCTCGTTGTATCCAGCAATGATAATGATAGTTCTTGATCGAGCTGAAATTGTCCGAAGTTTAAAAATTACTTCTCAGATACCATTAATTATTCTTCTTTGGAACTTTTTCTCCTTGGTAATTAGAAACTAAACAGACTTTCAACAATCTCTTTAGGACTTTGGAAGCAATTAGAGTTCTTAAACTTAAGGCCATTGTATATGTAAATCCTTCTTCATCAAACATTGATAATTCCATCTGAGCCTTCCAATACTAAAGGTATTAATAATTGTCATGTGATCGAAACATTTTTATATCGATTTAGTGATTGGATATTTAAGGGTGATTCTCAGATTATGGGCAATCTTCATGATAATGTTTTAATAATTTTGACGGTATTTAAATACAATTTTCGAAATACCTACACCTTTTATTGCTGCTCAGCTTTATCTCAGCAAATGGCCAAGATCAAAAGTGATTTTTGCTCAGTAAGTAAAGCTAATAATTCAGTTGTACGAAACGAGTTTTGAACTTGGTAATGATATTTTCACGTATTTTATTCGGCCAAAACCGCTCTGTAACTGGTATTATAATTTTGTTTTATTATTTTCAATAATGAACCACTATGAACGACCAAAAAATTCAAAAACTTAACCCCCTCTCAAAATTTCAGGTTTCACGTTTCAGGACGCGTAGAATTCGAAATTTTTTTGTCCGCGCATTTTCTCCGAAACTACTGGACCGATTTTTTTTTCAAAATTTGATATAAAATCAGAGGTCACCCGAGGATGATCCTCCTTCATCGACATTACTCTCCGCCTTTAACTTTCAAAATGGCGGCCGAAAAACTGTTGCTATTGACTGTAGATCCTAAACGAATGTACAGATTTCAATGAAACTTCGCTAAAGTCATTTTCTCGACGCCCTTTAAATTTATCTATATAACATACTTCAACGAAAAGAAGCTGGAAAAAAGTTACGAGGGATGGTTCCGAATAACTCGAAAAGTTATTTTATTTTTTATTTTTTTTCTTTTTTTCACGGAACGGCCATAGAGACCACGCGAATATCATGACATTTGGCTTCTTCCCTGTTTTTCCTTTCTTTCCACTCCTCTCTCATTATCTCCGAGTGCCGCCGCTTTCTCTCCTCCGTCCACGCGATTCCCTTTCTCGAACTTTTCTTCTTAACAAGAACCGTGATCTCCTTTAGTCTCTTACCATACCCCTCTCTGTCCAGACAGTCCCGGTCCGTTATTCCAAGTCTTTCCGTTTCTTCCTTCATCTGCCTGATGTATCCTCCCAAGCTTTTGTATCTACGGATTTTTTGGAATATTTCCTTGTTAAGTCTTTCTGGGGCCATTCTTACCATATGTCCGTGGAATTTCAGTCTCCTGATCCTAATTTCCGTTTCTAGATCTCTTTTGTCCTTGTATATTTCCTGATTGGATCTTAGCCTGTATCCTTCTTTTGTCTTTTTGGGGCCGTAAATCCTTCTTAGAATTCTTCGCTCTATTCTCAACAATTTTTCCAGACTGGGGAGGAATGTGGTTTCCGTCCCGTATAGTATCACAGGTTTAACAACTGTATTGTAGTGTCGTATTTTCGCTTCCTTGGACAGGTTTCTCTTGTTGTATATGTTACTGGTTGCAAAACTTAGTTTTTGTTGATATTGTATATAGTTATTTAAAAAAAAAAATCGTTAAAATCAGACAATTAGGAGCAAAGATATGGTCTCCGGTTTTTTTTATGTGTTCTACTCCAAATGTTATACCTTTGGTTTGGTTTTTAAATTTTGAAAGTGTTAATGAACTAATGCTATTTTTTTTTTATAGCATATTACTAATGATTAAAGAAAAACAGTTTAGTCCAATAATTGGAATCACCTTTTGTTTTTTTTTCTTTGTAACTCGGAAGGTAATGTTACTTTAGATGTATAATTGTTTGGAAATAATAAACCATTGTGAAATAATTTGCAGCGTTTTTTTTTTTTTCAACTGTATTCAAACGTGAATTATAATAAATGAAATAATTTGAACAGGTAGCGAGATAATATACGGGATGATAATGACAACAATAAAGGTACGTGCTCAACTTATAATAAAAGTATACGTAGAGGGAGTCTCCCCAACTGGTCGGTCTATCCGCTGGTGGCTGTACTTGAACTCCATGGCTACTACTACACTCTGGAGATATTTTCCCTCTGTTCCCTCTTTTCAACGCTTAAATATCTCATGTTATGTTTATTGCTTGGTAATGACATCAAAGTGATGGGACAATGTTTGAAAATACATAAACATACTTCACTGTTAACATAAGTTAAAAAGATATATATATAATTCAAAATGCCTTAATTATTCTTTAGGTGTGGAAATACATTTCACTGTCATTTTACATAGGTTTCGAAAGAAAAAAAAAAATTGTTTATTAGAAAACTGAGAGCGAGACAATACCTGATAATGACATTTTAGTAGCTTAAGTAATTATAAAATCACACTATTCTTTAATATTTTAATTTTCAACATTTCATTATGATGAAATACTTCTTCACCGTATAGCAGTGGGGGAAAAAATTAAGTTAGACTTAACAAATCACGTAAAAGTTGTAATGGACTAAAACTTGCTGCTCAAATGATAACCACCCTTAAACAGGTAAGTCTATTTTAAAGTTTCTTATTGACAGACAAAAACAAATTTCGAATTTTAAATATCCCACAATATTAATTATAATTAATTGGTAGTTGACTGTCGTAGATATATTGGTTGGGTTTTTCAGTCAATGAAAATTCAAAGTAATAATAAATAAATTATATTTATTTTTATTTCATGTTTTTCCAACGTTTCGGGCTTAGTTTCAGACCTTTGTCAGTACTAAGGGCTTATAGACTAGGAGCTACCGACCATTTCATTTAACTTTAAGCTAGTAACGAATTTAACTATATTTATAACAGGATGGATCAAATATAGTTAAATTAGCCGAATCAAAAGCATTGAAAAGATAAAAAGTACTTAAGTTGAGAGCGACAGATCCTATGAGTGAAATACGGCTTCGATTCCATACGCTTTAACAGCCACTTAATTCCCTCACGTATTAATGTATCTATATGAGTTACATAGGAAATTTAATGCTTTTTCAAATTGAATATAAGAATTTTCTTCGAGAGATACATAGATTATGAGTTTTGGGGGGAAAACTGACGAAAACAGATATTTCTTGTGAAATAAACTGTCAACATTCTTTAACTCCTCACTCGTTTGGCCTACATCGAAAAGATACGTATAAAATTGATAGTAAATTTTATCTATTTTAACTTTGTATATGATAATAATTTCGATAAAATGTATAGTTTCTGAGTCATGCCCGAAAAACGAAAAAATGTTCCCGAAAAAATTGCCCAATGAAAAATATCAAATTTTGCTTAATTACATCCTCGTTCTCATCCCTGCCAGCTATAGGAACATTCCAAATCAAAAAGTGTCATCTATTGATACAACAAAACTATTCTCTTAATTTTCTATTTTTTAAAATTATATGAATATTTTATGGATTTTAAATATGTCTTGTTAAGCTGAGGAATAGTTCTATAAGACGAATCTATGAAAAATTTAATATTTAAACATCATAATATAATATAGAAAACATAAATATTTAAAGGAGATGGTCATAAATAGGTTAAATAGTGGCAAAACTATTTTATTAAAAGCCAACGTTTCGACCCGACTTTGCAGGTCTCCTTCAGGGAGGTGTGTTCAGTTGGGAGTTTCACTTAGAACTGAAACATTGGCTTTTAATAAAATAGTTTTGCCACTATTTAGCCTATTTATGACCTCCACCCTGGACCATCTCCTTCCTTTATGATGCAACGGTCAACTATTCAATGAATCAATATTTAAGTTTTTACACGTAAAAGTTCAAAAAACTTTCCTTAAGCATATCAGCTATTGGTGCATTTACCCTACGTGATTATAAATCGGCACTTCTCCATGAAATCCTCTTTTGTTTGATACCTCTTTAATTTAAATCCATCGCTTCTGAGAGCCAGGAAAGAGATCAACACTGAGAAAAACTATTGTATTATATATAAAGATAGATTATTAATAACAAATGACTTATTGAACTTTTTGAATTATTATTAAGTAAATTACAGCAAAATATTGGAGGGGCTTGGCTCCATTCAAAAGGTATTTGACGTCTTAATATGAACCATATTTATGATTATGATGAAAGAAAAAACCCATTTTTAGAAACATTTAAGAGATGTCATAATGAAAAAAAAATTAATATTGCAATAAAAAATTTAACTTTTGAATAGGTTGTAGAGACATAAGTGTTATTAAATATAATAAGTTTATTATTGTGGGATTGTGGGTAAATGGTTGACTGTCGTGAATAATGAAGAGAAGAATAGTTGGGGTGATCAGTCAAATAAGAAGGCAAAAACACTTTGTAACGGTTATTATTATTTATCTCTTAGTTCTTACTATCGTCATTATTCTAACAACTGCATTTTACTTTATTTTTTTTTTTTACCTACACTACGTATGTTTCTCATACCTTGTTATCTGGTTCTTTTCTTAGCCCTGATGAAGGACTGAACTTCAGGTCAAAACGTTGGCAAATGTTAAAATAAATATTATCATTTATTTTTGCCTTCTTGTTTGACTGATCACCCCAACTATTCTTCTCTTCAATAAGTTTATTAGTTCATGAACTTGATCAATCTTTATTAGAATTTCGTCTTTAAATCTTTCTAAGAATTTCTTATCGAAGAAAAAAAAATTATATAAATATGATCTTAATTAATCAATGAAATAAAAGGAAATAATAAAAAAAAAAAGATTTATTTAATAATTTATTATTCAACAATTCATCCATACATTCCACAAATACAATGAGGAGATAAAAATATATTTGATATGGTAGTTACAATCTAAAACATGAAATATTTTCTTTGCTAATAATGTAAAACAATCACAAAATTATATTAATTCAATAGATGATATTTTAAATTAATAAATGATTATTTAATTTTG